TAAATTAACACTTTAGTGCTTTTGGTGGCGTTCCCGAAGTATGTGTACCAAGATGGCGCACAACCTGAAATCCTAACCTGATTCACATACTATTTTCAGGTTGTGCGCCATCTTGGCGCACATACTTCTGGAGCTCCCTTTCGGCCATGCACAAGTTCAGAAATTGTGCTTTTGAGAGAATACCAATCACACTAATATGTACGGGAATGTCAACATACAGTTTTATTACTGTGTATTCAAATCAAATAATAAGGGCTTGTTATTTGAGGCTTGTCCATATGAAACGTCCCATGGGATGGGATGAGAGTCTCATCATGAGACAGCTCACATTTGTATTTTCCATGGGAAACGAAATATCGTTTGATTTTGGGGTATTGATGGTAAACATTTCGTTATAGACTTCGTGTCTACATATTTGAGCATAACTCTCTTGTTAGTTATAAAGAGAAAAATTTATTCAGCATTAACAATATACCTCGTGGAGGGGCTGATGGACACATGTATAATAGTTCTGAATTTAAAGTTGACGAAGTCAATAAAATTTGTTGCTTTGCATATCTCTTTGTACATGTAGTCCTATTTAGTAGACGCTAAACCTAAATTTAACAATTTGTATTCCAATGGGTATACCATGGGATGGGATGGGACAAAAAAATATGCCCTATGGACAAGCCTATTTATTTGTGATTGTGAAAGTTTGATCATTTCAATTTGATAATTGGAATTGCACAACTTAGAGAAACTTGTGCTCTTAGTTGGTTACGTTTGTTGCAAATGTGCACGTCTCGATGGGATTTTCTTTGCATAAAAGATGATCGACAGTTGCACTAACGCCTGTATTGATATTGTGCATTGACGATTTTCGCGTAATTTAACTTCAACAAAGATCAAAGTCGAAAAGAGTATATAAAGTGTTTTGTATACTTCATATCAGTCCTCCACTCGACTTGACACAGAGGTGTCGCATTTGCACAGTGACTACCTGATAAAGCAATTGCTGTGTAGCAAATCGAAAGCGACAATATTGTCTCTCGTTTCTGTACACATTCAACTCTACAAAGAATTTTTACTCAACTCTATCTGAATATTTATTCCAGGTCCCAAAGGATGGCCACTACTTGGAAATTTGCCCTCGTTGAGTTTCCATTCTGAGCGTGAAATGATGGCATGGAATAAAGAGTATGGGCCAGTTTGCCGACTGAAAATGGGTAACATCGAATTTATTATACTGGGCAGTGTTGAAGCGGTCCAAGAAGCGTTTGTTAAGAAGAGCGACATATTTTCGGGTCGGATTCAAGATACAGTCCCTGGAATATCAGGCACTCATGGGATAATTTTCTTGGATTATGGAAATCAATTGAAAGAGCAACGTCGATTTGGATTGGCAACCCTGAAAGAATTTGGAATGGGTCGTCGCAGTATTGAGTCGAGTATGCTTGAAAAATGTTCAGAGCTTTGTGAACAAATAGACTTGGAAATTGAAAAAGGAAACCCATTTTCAATTGATTTCATGGTTTATCAGACTGTATCGAGTGTTATTTCAAAGCTTGTTTTCAATAAAAATTTAGCTCGTGAGAATAAGGAGTTTCGGGATTTTCTTCATCTAATCATGACGGGATCAAAATACAGCGCTATCAATGGAATCACCGTGTTTTTTCCACCACTGAAGGTAACTTATGTGTATGAGTAAGAGTGACCTCAGTTTGTTTATGATTCCCAAACCGTAATACTAGCAAAGCATCCAGGTAGGCGATTATCAAACACAAAACTGAAGCAAATCAAATAAACTGCTACCCACAAAAATATCTTCATACTCACAGGTCACAGCATCCTAAAGCAATAAAATATAGCTCACAAAAGTTAGTTGCCAGAAATTACAATTCTATTTTTTTGTTGAACCAAACAGGCACTGAATGTGCATACTATGGTCATAGCTAATGGCTATGGCTACTAATGGCTTCGTTAAATTATACACTTTTCAGAAAATTCCCCCGTTTTCCTGGGGTCAGAGAGAATCGGAAGTTCACGAACAAAATCATCAGCGTCTCTTTCAGCAAGAAATAGACGAACATAAAGCGACCAGAGATCCAAAAGAACCAAGAGATTTTATCGATTGTTTTTTGAATGAGATGGATATTGCGGGAAAATCCCCGAAGGGAGCTGATGCATTGGGTAAGATCACAGAGCTATAGCTTACACATTTCCAGTTCGGTGGGTGAGGCTGGTATCTGAAGATGCCTGCTAATAAGTAGCGTAGCGGAAAGCTCACTCCCGTATAAAAGAAAATGATTTGAGAGCTTTTTATTTTGCATTAATTTGTCTTGTTTTATTTCCATTAATTTTTATGACGATATTATGATTTGTTCATTCCGGTAAGAGCTGATTAAGGTGATTTGCTTTTTACTTCATAAGGCTACCACGACAAACAACTGAAATTCCTGGCTCGTGATTTTTTCCTCGCTGGATCAGAAACGACATCAAGCACAATATGTTGGGTTGTTTTATATCTATCACGAAATCAAGAAATACAGACTGAAATGCATAAAGAAATAATTGATGTTTTCGGGCACGCTAAACAACCCAGTACTGATTTTGCAGATAAAATGCCGTACACCAAAGCCGTCATACAGGTGAACTATCTGCTATTTCTTATACTTATCAACGATAACGCTTCTTGTAGCTGCTCGTGGTATTTTAAAATGTCTAACATGATTCTTTTAACACTTCTGAAACTGACAAGACTAGCAAAAGTGCAACGTTTTTAGAAGTTGATTGAGGAGCTTGTCAAATTCTTCACGCTCTGTATTATTACAAAATTATGATGTGGACCTCTGTGAACAATCGTAGCCACAGGCCTATTCTGAATAAAACGCATTATCAACAGTGTAACAAATGATAAATGAACCAATGTCAAAAATAGCAACTGAATTTTTCTTTTGCTTCACTACTTTTATGATATCAAATGTTAAAACATTATAACACAGGAAATTCTACGTATGAGGCCACCAGCACCGATCGCAATACCACACCGTGCCATTCGAGAGGGTACAATCATGGGATATCGTATTCCAAAGGATGCAATGGTAGTGGCAAACATCTTCGGAATCCAAAACAATGAAGAAACCTGGCCGGATCCGGAGAAATTTGATCCTTGTCGCCATCTCGATGCAGACGGTAAATTTGTTAAGATGCCAGGGATGATCCCATTTTCGATCGGAACTCGCCAATGCTTGGGAATGCAACTTGCTAATATGGAACTGCATCTGATAGTTGCATCTCTGTTTCAAAGATATCAATTTCAATTTGCAGGCGACAATGATATAGATATGCGAGGGTCAAACATTTTCAGTCTTCGTCCATATCCATTCAAAGTTACTGCCGTCAAACTCTGAGATAAATTTTTGCTTCAATAACAATAAAACCTATAGTTAGTTTATGTGTTTTGATCTTCAATAAATATTGAAATTATTATTGAATTCTTTCTGTGCAAATAGGAATTATCGTCATCGACTTTTAAGTGTTCCCCTGCTTTCGTGATAGCCTGTCGAACTTGATGAGCCGCGAAGTTGAGCTGATTTTAGGCGAAAAAACAAGAGTTTGAAAATTTAATATTTCAAAATAACCTAGTGCTTGTGTATAACGAAGGTGGTTCGAAAGCGTGGCTTTTTGTATAAACTATAAAAATACGCGTGAATGCAAATAATGTGGTGTTTCGGTCCACTTGTAATTGTACAGTGTTAACACTCGGTTTATGATTATTGTGATAAATTCCACCGGCCAGTTTATTAAAATCAGTAATCAGTAGGTTTATTTTTTACCATATTGAAAATGCACGTTGTACATACAAATTGAGGTAAAAAGGAGGGAAATAGAACTAAAATAGGTTTCATTAGAAAACTCATAGGGTTCGAGTACTATAGATGGTAAAATAGATAAATGTTTAGTTATCCTTTCAAGTTGACACATTGAGTTACGTGCGCAGGTTTTTGTATTTTGCGCATTGGAAAATCCGCTAATATTCGATTGATATATTTCTACATAATTACCATGTCATATTAAATATGCCAATGTAAAAATGTGGCACCGATCATAGCCAAATTAGTTGAGCTAGTGATCGGAGACCGGCGACTCATCGATCTAGCGGCGTGTATTCTTCTCTCTCAATAGCGACACCACGTGTCACATCACTAATTGATAACTCGCTAATTATACGACATAATTCATCCAATATATGATGGCCCGAGATATGATGAATGCACATGCAAAATTTGGAGCAGATTCAACCTCGCTTTCATGAGATATCGCGTGCCTAACAGGCAAACAAATACCTATCAACATACTTACCGATCGAGATCGATAAGTAACAAGTCAGAATTCTGTTTCTACTCGCTGGGGTGGGGATGAGCATGGCTCAGAGCAAAGTGAATATAATTTAGGATGTGGTAAATATTTTGCTATTGACGATAACCATTTGTAACCCATACCAAATGTGTTGCGTATTTTAAACTTGCAAGTGTTATAACTATAAAATCGGGCGAAACTTTTTGGACACCCGTATTTGGCGGACCGCGGTTGAGAACAACTCGGCTAATACATATTTCTCGCAAGCTAGCCTACCAATAACACAATGTTTTATAGATGCGGTTTTTGCTTATTCCAAATCTTTTTTCACAGTAACGAAATTTACCCATGACGATGACGAAATTTACCCCAGGTTAAGAACTGCTAGTTGCATAGCATTGAAAATGTAACAGAATCGAATGTGATGTTTTTATCCATTATGATAAAAGACCAATTATATTCTGAATATTACCGTAGAAAAACATAAAATTGTAACATATATAGCAATTGGAATTGTAACACAATTAGTTGAATGAAATGTTTTTTTTATTCATGATGATAAAAGAGCGATTATATTCTGAATAATAAAATAACATTAAAACATGTGAAAAAATACAAATAATCCATATATATATTCTTATCATGTATCTGTATATAGATTTTTTTAATCTATTTTTTTATTTTCCTAATATTTTAGAATTAGAAGTATATAGTTTACATAAACAAAATGTTCACATCCTATGAAAAACATATCACCAATGCAGGTGAAAATTCAAGAGAGATCGGGGTATAGATTGGGTGGATTATTGGAAATATGGAAAGCATCGATATCCACGACAGTTTTGATGTCTTCTCTATTTGACGTATTTAAATTTGAACCAGGCTCCGCGAGATTTGGTTGACGAATGGGGTTTCTGGAATCCAACCAAAATTGCCTAGCTTCGTTGTAGTTCGGTGCTGTTCTAGTTTTAAGCATTGAAATTATGCTTGCTCTCTAAAATACCTATATATGGACAATACGATGCTCCAAAACATACCTGAAAAACGCTATCATGAATGATGCGGATAAAATGGGATGACTTATAAACACCAAGGCCCATTATAAGAAGCCTGGGGGATTGACAGGAGGCATATTTTTCATATTCCAAGGGTTTTGAAATTTTAGTTTACCTATTTTTTGTACTGTTGGTCTCAAAGTTTAAATCTGAGCATTTGTGTAATTAACGTTAAAATTACTAATGTTCCCTACAAATGCTTGCCGATGCTGGTTCAATACTTTCGATAGTCTGGTGCTAAACTGCAGTCGACGACTTATATGTTATTTTATCCATTGGAGAAAAACTAACCAAATTGAAATAGAAATAACAGATACAAACATGGGGTTTTATTGGCATTAAGATTCCATTGTGTTCAGGTTGTGCGCCATCTTGGTGCGCATACTTCGGGAGGTCCGAATAAAGACCTTATTACAAAGGCAGCAAAAATACAAATAAAGGAGTTCTCGCTCCTACCTTCTCTATTTCAATTCCGAATAAAATTGACTATAATACCGAATAATTTGTTCTCTGTGTTCTATTATTGAACATGATCGTTAAGTAAGAAGATATTAGGAGACCAAGATTGATTTTTTTTCGTTGTAACTAAAATAGATTATCTAAGAGGCTCAGTAGCATACATTCATATGAGCAATAACATAGTTGATGCGCACACCGCTACATGTTGCCAAATAAAATGACATTCTGGTGTCGTTGAACTGGGTGCCCAACTAAGAAAAAAGTCGGTAAATATTATTTGCACTTACATAAAGAGACTTTATTCCATCAATATGTAAGACGATATATTACCTTCATTAGTATTGGTGCAAGTATGGTTCTAATTTATAATTGTAATTTGTGGCCGAAGCAGTTTGATATAATATCCTGAACCCTAAGGGGCGAGTGACGAGCCATTCCAGTTTCGAGTCGATTCAATTACTGAGCAAGGTCTCACTGGCGGTTGCTTAAATAATAGTCCGATTCATTACATTTTTATTGCTTGAGTCACATCAAATTTTTGAAAAAAAAACTGTAACTCGAGTCGCGTAAACACTGAGCCAAAGATGACGTAACTTATATAAAACAATGTGAACATGGCCCACATATAGCAGTGGACTATTGACTGTCCAATGAGCATCACCGATCCACTCGGACATACCCGTGGTCCTTATTTAATTTGAGCAAAATTCTACAATAAATCTCTCATCGTACTATTTACAGTTATCATCTTGAACATGTTACATCAAGGTCTGCTTCTTGACAAGGACGACATATCTGATCAAAATGTCCTGAATCTGAGTTGAACATCTATCAACAGGGAACTCAATACATTATCTATCTATAATTCTATACTATGGTTCAAGCAGCATTGATAACAGTTTGATGAATTTTATATTTACGGTGTGTCCAAGTACTGTTCGAGTTTTGGTACCTCTTCACTGAGGCCCTTTCGTTTTCTTGTGATGGAAATGATCTCATCTCGCTTATTTTCAGGAAGATTGACCCAGTGATCAAAAACAAAATGGTAAAACGCTTGGCCACCGGTATTGGAGCGAAGATCCTCAGTAAATCCTGTTAGAATTCAGATACGAATGTTTAAGAGTACCTTCATGCAAGCAAGTGTAGTCTAAAACAGTGGTTTTAACCTTTTCAGTTCGCGAACTGGTAAAATTTTAAAACAATTTTCGCGGACCGACGGACCTTCGAACGCGACCAAAAATGTCATGAACACAAAACATAATCAAAAGAATGCGATTAGGACAAAAAGTAGGCGGTGCAAAGGGAGACAATCCAATTTAATGATAAATTTGCTGCTGTCCTTTTGATATTATACATATAGGAGAGATTAAGGTATAGATGGTTAGACGAATACCAGAACTACGAATCAATAGACCTTTCCCCGACCTTCGACCCCCGAAGAATGCTTCCTATACTTTACCATTGCAAAATTTTCGAGGCTTATTTTGTGATTGGTTTTGCGAGTTGGTGCCTGTAAAATGGGGTATTTGTTTCAAACCATCATTCTGATTTATTGCATTCAACAATCTGTTTTTAAAAGTATCGGTAGAGAATTTTAGTCTAGTCTATCACTCCTATTTCTACATTAATTTAATACTACAATTCAAAAACGCACAAATGAGGTAATGTTCACGACCACGCCTGAAAATCTGTCTGAGTGAGAAAAGTGTCTGAGCGGATGCGAAAAGAGGCATTGTTACGTCACTTTAGCATCTTGCTGATTGGTCAATGTCGAAAAGTAAACACGGAAGTCGATGGTCGGGAAAACAATACTTTACATTTTGCAATTTGCTTATAATATATTCATTTCATATTAAAATATATTTGGCAGACGGGCAGCAAGGACCGGCACCTGTCCGCGGACTGGCGGTTGAGAACCACTGGTCTAAATTCCAACAAAGCACTGCATACTTATGATAATCAGTATTACAACAGCCATACAAAAAAAACTACCGACTTTCATCGCCTCAGGAATTACAGAGAAAATTTGAAGTGACATTCCTAGTGTTATTGATGCATTTCTATCCATACCGTACACCACAATTGGCCAACATGTCAATCGCCACAGCACAAGTAATTAATCTAGTCTGATGTTGATAAATTTAATAAAAAAAGCAGCTCCTTCCTGTTGTGTGTTTTAAAACAGGTAGAATATGAGGATGTACATGCGCAAACTACGATCTACACATACAGTATTTAAGTCTGGGCAAGCCCGATAAAGTATGTTATTAAGTAACAAATGGAGGTCTCGCCGCTGCCAAGGTTTAAAAATGAATCTGGGCAAACATCATCTTTCTTGAGGGACTAAAGATCCTGCAGGAACTTCTGCACTGCAGTATGCGAAATTTATTTTCACACTCCCAGAGTAGTGTGATAAATTGTATTGCCAATGGCTGGCATCAAAATGCCCAATTTCTTCTAATTTCGAACGAGCGAAGAATCGAACTTGGAGGAAATTGTTAATTAAATACTGAAGTTTGTGCAGTCATGTAACATTTATGATTTGAAAATACTTATTTTTCGCTGTTTAGATAATGTGAATACTTGTTTTTTTGGAAAATTTTCAAAATTTACTACTAAAAAAAGGGGGGGCCTCAGATCTGAATTCTTTGATTCGAGTAAATCTCATAGAAATGATGAAAATGTACTCCTGGTACAATAACATATACTAATTTTTGTGGCGATTTCGTAAAAAATGCACCCACAAAGTCGAGCTTATTGGCAGCGGTGGAAGTTTTTGTATGCCTGTGGGTGCAGTTATCTGAATATTCAGTACTCATTCGTTTTTGTGTGTGACCTTATTACCGTACAGTCGATCACGAGCTATTTTAAAGATCCTAGTCGATCGCGATCGAAAGCAGGTTGGCCACCCCTGCCTTACAGTACAGTATAACAATATATCTTACCGAACGACTCATTCACAGGTAAATAAGCTCTGATGTTGTGCCAACCAGTTCCAGGTTGTACGGCATCTTCTATCACTTGTACCCGACGACGATTGAGTACACCATGGATTCCTACGACAGCGGCTTCAGTACACTATATTAAAAAATATTCACGATATGGGAGTGGATTTAGATACTATAACCAAAGTTCATGACTATAGAGATAACCATATTATCAGCATAACCTGACAGAGATGCTCTCAAGCAAGACCAAACAAGTGTTAATCAGTAAGAGAAGTTTCATTCAAAAAAAAAATGGAATTAACATACAAAAAGACTAAACAACAAACAAACTAATCTTTTAGAAATCTCTAAGAAAGCCATTAGCAAACGACATACCTGAATCGCAACCAAATAGATTGGTTCAAGGAGCGCAGGTGAAGCTGTTAACTGACAAGCGTAGATGCACCGTTGCGTGGTTGGGATAATTTGTCCACCTCCTCGATGGATAGCGTCAGCATGCAATGTAACATCATGAACCTTAACAAGAACTCCCCTCATGTTCTCCTCACATAAGACACCTTTTTCAGTAGCCCACTGGAACCCAGTAACAACCGAACCTCTGATTTCGTTCAGATATTGGACACCATTGGTTACGTCCATGAGAAGGTTAGACCCGGTACCACCAGGTCCAAATCCCCAGATCTTGCGAGCTTCATCAACATCCATATCAAACTTGTCAGCCAAGAGACCAGCTCTTGTTTTTATATCTTGGCGAGGAGTGACATCACCCTGAATAAATTAAAAATGGAGTGTCGAACATATATTTCCGATACAACATCCTCAGTAGCTAATAAATCAACCTAATAAAACTACTCACGTCGTCAATAGCTTCATCCAATCCTTCAGGACATGCTTTTGCCCTCATGTACAATATATTATGTTTATTTGGCGATTTCGAAATGCACATGACACTAGATTCCTCTGTCACGGTTTCACGGTAAGATACAAATAGGTCAGATATCTGAGAATCAATGGAATTATTGATACAGTACTGAAAAGGCGGATTCAATCTAAATCAAAAACATTATCATGTATATGAGAGGTGGCCAACACGTCGATCGCGGATTGGAATAGAGTCTCGACTTGTCGATCACGTCTGATTTTAAGTGAAATTAATAAAATACCCCAAAAAATACCTTCGAACCAGTTTCATACAGCGCCTGTTATGTGTTTTGAAACTGGAAGAATACTGTACCGAACAAATAAAAGTTTCGCCGCTGCCAAGGTTTAGAAATGAACTTACCGAATACTGTGTGTCTTGCATGAAAAACGATCTTACAATAACTTCTGCAGTGTGCAAAATTCATTTTCTCACTTCAAGAGTAGTGTGGAAAAGTGTATTTGCAATGGTAGCAGTGGCGTCAGAATGCCCGATTTTTTCTAATTCAAAGCGAGCGACGAATCGGACTTGGAAATAATTGTGAATTAGATACTGAAATTTGAGCAGTTATGTAACATATATAGTTTGAGAATTGAGAATATTCAATTTTTCGTTGTTTAGACAACACCTACGACTGAAAATGAGTCAGGCCTTAGATCTGAATTATATGATTCGAATAAATCCTAAAAAAATGATGAAAATGTACTCCAGATACAATTACACAATCAAATTCACAAATTAAACGCAATAAAAAATACTAATTTTTAGCAGCGAGTGCCCACAGAGCCGATCTTATTGGCAGCGGTGGAATTTTCTGTATGCGTGTGTGTAGTTATCTACATATCCAGTAGGCCTACTCATTCGTTTTATGTACGACTTTATCCCAGACTCGATCGCAGTCGAGAGCAGGTTGGCCACACCTGATGTATATAATAAAAACCTTCAGTGGGATGTTGGCTAAATCTTCTTCCAAATCTTTCATGCGACTCTTAAGATGCAATTCTCCTGCCCCAGCAACAATGTGCTCTCCACTCTCTTCAATGATGCACTGAACGATAGGATCAGATTTTGCCAATCTAGATATATATACAATACCTCTTTCATCTATTCCAATCTTAAATTAACACAAAATCTAATGCAAATTATATTCATGAAAGCAGTCAATCCTAGTTTATATTGACAAAGCTTGTTTTTTGACACATTGGTAAGATATAAACAAAATTCATTACGAGGTACGAAAACTTGCAATATTCAAAAACTGCACTGCTTGAAAAAAAACTGAATATGAACGCTGCATACTTCTTATCGGAATTTAAATATACAAGTACCCGAATATATATATACATAGTTTATACTGTTGTGAAAATTCCTTTTGTATAAAGTAGGTTTGCCATTATTACAGCCCTTGATAGAAAATAACCTACCTTTTCAGTCCTTCTACAAGCTCAGGCAGATCTTCTGAATTTTTAACTTCCACTGCAACACGTACCACAGGCGACACGCTGAACTTTATCACTTTCATGTTGTAAGCCTGTTGAACATAGGTGTGGAAGTTCAAACATTGCTCAGGTTTTGAATATTGATATTCATCAACAATGCACATAGGAGGAATGATGCTTCAGAAGTGACAAGTTTGTAGGAACAAGTTTAATGAAAAAAATTAAGATAAAATGTAAATACATACAGTTGCCAAAGTTGTGATGGTTCCAGTCTTGACCAGATACTGATCCACTCCTGACAAACCAGCAAAATTACCGCATGGCACGTCTTCAATTGGTTCAATGTGACGTCCCATCAAAAGAATAGTTCTATAGACATAAAAAAGTTATTAATTTGAAAATGTATGTAGATTATAATCGATTTAATATTTGAATATGGCGACTAAATAATGTTTTTTGGGAACTCCTGAAGTATGCGCACCAAGATGGCGCACAACCTGAACTCAGGTTGAAGTATGACATTGGCAAGTTTTATTATGCTCAGACGTGATGGTGATACCACAACAAATTTCAGTTTCCTTTTGGCTATGACGTCATAATATGCATTTCGAAAGCCGAAACACCGCTGTTTCGACATATCAGTGTTTACAGCCCTAATCACAATGATATCCCAGCACTAGCAGTAATAGCAGAAAGTAATATCAAGTTAGTAGTCAGTAATAAAAATAACACCTTTCAATCCGCTTGATGTACAAGTCTTCATTTATACCAGGAAAATAATTAGGACCCAAGATTCGAACTTCCTGCCCAATTTTAACTGTTCCAGAGAAAACTCTGCCAAAAGCGTAGAATCTCTCCTTGTCACTTGCAGGTACCATTTTACTGATGTACATTACCAGGGGCCCTTTAGGATCGCAGTTTTTGATACCTTGAGTAAAGATGTAAGGTCTTGTGTCAGAGGAGTGCAAACAGCGGCCCGCAAAAAAAATTGTGCGACCTGCAGAGGAGTGCCAATTTCGAATAGCTTGCCCGCGAAGTGCCACACTGTTTTCAAAATACCTTTGTTCTATATTATGGTAAAATTAAATTAATTCCATTCAGAATTGTCCATGTTATTACCCAATTCCAACTCGAAAGTTAAACACAAACAATTTAATTCATCTCACCAGTTGCAGCCTCGTCATCTTTGGGACCTTCATATAAAAGTTCCATACGATACTTCTGTGATGTCACAGGTGATGGTAAGTGGATTGCTATCATCTGCAGCAAAGTCTCACCAGCTGGCAGCCAAGTGCGCATGAAGACCTGGGGAAATAAAGAAATGTTGAATCCATCAACTATATTGTATCATTATGTAAACAAAAAGTACTCTATAGGTAACTCCTAAGAAAAGAGACATACCTAATTCTCCGAAGAGAAAAAATTCTCCATGCTGCGCTTTGCGTGTAAGAAGTTGTAGTTACAAGTATGCACTTTCTTTCTTTCTTGGGGCCTATTAAGTTCAGCAACTATTGAGATTTCATACAGAAATAACACACAAACGTACCTCCATCAACGATACACCAGTTTTATCTTTATCATCTCCTTTCAATGTAACACCAGTACTTTTCATCCATTTTTCAATCTCTTGTTTATTATTGTTCATTATAGCATCGCGAGCCTGATAAGTTGTGAATTACCATGCTCATTAGTTGAAGCCAAAGAATTAGTTTATATTGAACACTAATAGGCAATTCTCGAACTCAAATAAGCAATTTTGCGAAGCTGGTTGTTTTATACTTCAGACACGTTAATAACTAAATCTTACCTCCTTGTCCATTTCTTTATAATGGGAAGGCTGACAAAATTTTCATCAAAATATAAATTGAAAACAATTGCCCCAAATGTAAAACCAAAATAGTACTGATTCAAAATCAAATTACCTTGTAAATTGGATCCAGCACATAAAGGCAAAAGGCACGCTCATTTGTGTCTGATTTGGTTTCAGACCACATTTTGGTTCCGATATCAAAGAAGTTATCTCCCCATAATTTGTCAATTAACTTCTCAGCGGTGGTTTGGAATTTTTCAGCATACATTTCGGCAAATTGTTTAAGAGAGAATGCCCATCCTTGGAGTCCAGAACCAAAACCAACTGTTCCTTTGTTTGGAAATACCTGTTCGAATTAGCCATTGATATTAATGAATAAATTTACTGGGAGTGGAAACATAAGAAAATATATATCAAGTAACAGGGCCGCAGTCAGTGGGAGGGATACATGAGAGAAATTGTAGGGGAAATGTTATTTTGACCACATAGAAATGCCATTATTGACGATATATGTTAGTATCAGCATTTTAAATCAAAGCTGAGTTGCGTGAATAGGCTACTCAACACTGAGTATTCACATGATGACCAATTTGAGGAGGTTCAAGTACTATTAAATAGGGATGGGACGAGTCCGGCATTACAGAGATTCGATGAATCCGAGTAATAGGTCAAGGACTCGAATCAAATCCTCCGAGTCCGTGACGTCACAATGTAAAAGTAGAAAAACACGTTTTTGTCCATAAAAATGCCTAATGGTTCCGCAGATAGCTGTTGAATCAATTTAAAAATATATTTTTCTTCTTTTTGGCTGCCCTAATACAAACGTAAACGTGGGTCAATGTGCGCCTTGGCTGTGAACTGGATTTCCAGCCCACCACCTTTCGTCAATTCTGAGCGGCTATTTGGAAATTCTTACATGTCAAATAGAAAAATAAAAAGCTTTTGACTACAATGCTTTCCCATAATTCCAGATATTTCTAACCTTAAATTTACTATGTCACGTGTGCAAATGGTAAAGAGATGCCACTTGTCGTCAATACAATGCTTGCAATTTAGTAGTTCATGTAAACGTTCTAAAACGCTCCATGCTTTCCATTGCTCCCATTTTTAGAGAAAGGATTGCACGTAATAAACTCGATTTAAAAGAGGTTTTGATGAGATTCCATCTTGGGTTAATCATGTGCATGTTTCATATTTATTTACACGAATCGAAAACGCAAAAATATTGCGCTAACACATATTTTATTGTGTACCACATGTACATCAAAAAGAATAGATAGTTTGAAGGCGACTGGCGCATCATTGTTATAAGGTATCAATAGTTTTTACCTTGCGTCATATTATCTGGATATCTGTCGTCGTTTTTATTAAGAGTGTTTATAATACACACGAGTGATACAATTCAATATATTGTTAAACATCTAAACTTGAATTTCAACTAGTTGAGATATGTAGTGAGATTTATAGGGGAAAAAGTACAAACATAGGCGTAAATTAGTAAAAACAGAATTGATTATAGACTTGTTAAAAACGACGTGGACTCGAAATCCAATCCGAGTCCAAAATATGCCTGGATTCGACTCGAATCCTAGTCCGGATCCCGGCCCATTCCTATTATTTAATACGAAAGTAACACGGACAGAATATAAAATTGAAAAGCATAAAAAAGTCTCTCAGCAATATGGCGCTGTGAGAACGATTTCTGGCCTGGCTCATAACATTTGCGAGAGTGCGGTTACATTTGTTTCTCTCCGACAAATAACTAGCTCATTTATGAAACATTGGAGAGCGAACAACACGACAAGGTTACCGCTGATTACGGATTAATGGTCGACGATTAGTAGATGTTAGAAATAGGACGAGCAAAATAGTCACCAAATCATGTCTGACAAAGGGAGTTGAGCTACACGTAACTGTGTGATTTCGTCTTTTCTTTGGTTCATCGTTAAGCAGAGTCAAAAAAAAAAAAATGCTTATTAACCCAACAATACTATATTTTTAATTAAGATCCAGACTTTTCAACTAACCATGTGCCTGAAAGCATTATTTGATTTTTTACGGCACTTATAAGAGGATTTCGCTTCGATCAAGGCCGTATACAAGCAGCCACGGATATTCAAATTGCAACCTAATATTTGGAGAACCGAAATTGTTCCTTTTCGACATAAGTCTACCACAGATGCGATGCTCACACATTAATCTATAATTCTTAACTGGTATGGCACTGTCCAAAGTATCAGTAATTTGACCTGGATATCTCCGAAAGCTTGCGTTTCGTCGCTGCCACCAAATGTTGAAATAAAGACATTGGTACTCTCAACAATTCGATTGAAGATTTGATAAAGATCTTCTTTTCCAACTTGTTGTTGCGAGAGAGCACTGTCCATCTTGTTTATGAAAACGATGGGCTTGATACGTTCAGCAATAGCTTGGCGAAGTGCAGTCACAGTTTGATCACTAATAGGCCTACCTGATAGCACAAAATATTTACAATTAAAATAAGCAAATTGACATCATTTGTTTGCATGTCTAATGAAATACAACTTGAAAATTAAATAGTAACAAACTCCAGAAAATATTCTCATATACTTTATGCTCATGAGCAGAAATAATGTGAGTACTTACCGCTATTATAATCAACCACAACAAGTGCACCATCTGTAACACGCAAAGCAGCTGTAACCTCTGATGAAAAGTCAACATGCCCTGGTAAATTAATCAAATTGATAAGAAAGCCATTGCCATCTTTTTCCGTTCCAGACAATTCATAATAAAGAGAATGTGCCCTGAAAAAAACGTAATTAAAACAATGTAATTAAATATTTCAATTTATTTCTTTCACAACAATATGTAACCAATACTTAGTTAAAAATCCGAACTTTTTTTTACTCGATATCTATTTCAATATGGTTCAAATTCTAAGAATAACCCCCATATTTAAAGGCATCAATTATAAAAATGCATGCAAACCGGAATGGTGTGGCGTCTGCATAATGCCAAACCGATACTACCTTTACAAACTATAAGGACGTGCAATCTGAAAACATCATCATTGCATTCCCCAGAAAAAAATAACCTGTATTGTATCACTGTACTAGCCACACTGTATTTTGAGGATACATTTGATTTGAAGCTCACTTACGTCGACTCTCCAGCTTTCTCAGCAATGATACCAGTCTTGCTAACAGCAGTGATACCAGCTTTGCTAACAAGGATGTCTGTTAATGTAGATTTTTCATGATCTTCACCAGCAATAACAGACATGATTCGAATATTGGCTTTTTTGTCCATGATACCACGGATCTGATCGTCTGTAAAGTTCACCTAAAAATAATTTTTCAACATCTGTCTACAGCAACCAAGAATTTTGTGGTAGTCCAAGGATTAATCGTGCATATAGTTACAGCGATTACATTTTTAGCACGACATACCTGATGAATTTAGATATGGGACTAATAACATGTTCCTTTACATTAAAACCTTTTCCCACAATCAAGTCTATTTTCATTCCTGGCGGGTATTGTTACCTGATTGATACACTGTTCTGCTCTATAGTCATTTCATATAATTGGCTGTGGACGGACTTGATTGCTTTGAGACGATCGTACAGCATTTTGAAAATTATTTCGAAGTGGAAGGTAGTATCGAAGCACTTTGATCCGTTTTTGGTCAGCGTGTAAAGTTGGCAAGAGAAACCCTGCATAGAGTTAGCTGGCTAGACTAGCTACTCCATACTCAAAACTTTCGGATAGGAATGAATTGGTAAAATATCAAGTTTCGTTCGCCCATGGTCTTTTGCAACCACCATCTTCCTGCATTCTGACATTGGAAGATGCAATGTCCTCAGTTGCAGATATATCGAGATCCTGTCTATCCCCACTTTCCAATATTTCTCGTTTCAGATGCGGACAAGTTGGGCAGAGAATCCGTTATTGTCGCAGTCCACAAGCTCTTACACCATCATCTACGCCATGTCCCTGCTGTAAGTAAACAGGTCATTGGGCACAAGATTGTTCAAATAATACAGGTGGCCCAACTTGCTTTCGACACGGACAACACAGGGACATATTAGCTGATACTATTCCATGACCACTGAACGAAAACTTCGAACCAGTCTTAAAAATCAGGATATCAGGGATGAGGTCCGCACTCTCTGCTAACATGATTTTAGACGACGTTGTTTTGTCACCTGGTCCTGGACCCACTATTTTCGACTAAAATTTTTTTCCAGTCACTTGGACTAATGTCAAGGCTTTGGTCAATAATGTGCCTGTTGTGTGTTTAACTGATACCGGTGCGGGTGTCTCGCTTTATCGACACCACTTTGAATTCCATTTTACGGGTCGTTTTGCTTTCGAGAGCCAAAATGTTACTGTTCAACGTCGCTTCCCTGTTGTTGTGTACGGTAACTGTGAAGGAGGATGTGGTTATGCCAGCCCGTTCTAGAAGTGTTGTACTTTTCAGCTACACTCCACTCGACGAGCCAGAGGAGCAACACCGAATTGGTCGCTTCGTTGACCCGTCTAAAAAGGAGGCACCTGTTTAGATGAACAATGAAACTGACTATGGTGCTGTTCAGAGCATGAAAACGCAGTGCTGCAGTGGTTCGCCGTCATATGGTGACTACACCACTGCAGCCTATTCAACAGGCCGCCCGACGTCTTGGCTGGGTAAAAGACAAATACCGGAAGATGCTGTTGACGATGTTTGAACAAGGAGTGATTGAGCTGACTGATAAACCAGCAATAGATATTAAAAGTTTCTTGAGAACTGCCAACTATTATAGACGTTTTGTGGCTGGTTATGCCACCATAGCATCGCCTTTGGTTCGTTTGACTCAAAAGAACGTGAAATACGAGTGGACTGATGACTGTCAGGAAAGATTTGAAATCACTGAGCGCCTTTTCACGTCCGCCACGAATAATGGCGAAATGACGTACTGATTGAACCGCTGCCAACAGCTCCCTCTCCGTTGCACAATACCGACATTTCGTTTTGGATAGAGTAAAGAGTTCTACCGAAATAAGCTATAACATGTTCTTCTCCCCCTTGCATTTGTGATAATACAGCACCAGTCCCAGTGCCGCTCGCGTCGGTGTCGGTGTCCTTGAACCAACGCAAAAGCCAAAATAGGAGCGACAAACACTTCTTGATTCGCGCTGATCATCATGTTGCCTCCACATATGACTTCGGATTAGGGACTGAACATGGATATGCAGATGAGCTGTCTCGTCAAATCAGACGCTGTAAGTGCCCGAACTGCGTGTCTACTTCCCTGAACCCTGATATCATTATCCAGCTAGTAGCACCTATTTTCAACTCTGACTTGTCAGCATTTACAATTTTACATAGTGCCCATACCTCTGGACATTTTAAAAGTATTCGTGCGCGTTTCTATTGGCCTGGTGTTAAAAGAGTTATTTTGCTATGTTGCAGATTTTGCAACTCTGTGCTGCGACTAAGATGACACATGGAGGTAAACAAGAAGATCTACAACTACTTTGCTGCTCACCCATGGAATATGATGTATTTCTTGGGAGCACTACCTCATACCAGCCCTTTGGAGTTCCTCGGATTCGAGATTTTGTATCTCAGTTGTTCACTGAGATGTGCGAATTGTTTGGTATTGTCAAGACGCATACGACACTATATCACCCCCCCTGCTGATGGACAAGTGGAGAGGTTTAATCGAACGATTAAACAAATGCTCAAGCCTTATGTGAGCGATTATCGAGACGATTGGGATGACCATGCTCCATATCTGTGCATAGCTTACAGGGCTACAGTACATGAGAGCATACAATTTACACCTAATTGGCTTATACTGAGTCGAGTCTTTTGTATGTGCCAAAAATCACTTAAATCAGCTGCATTGCGACAGAAGAGAAATTTGGATGTTTATTTAAGTGTATGGTTTTACCATTCACCCAAAAAGAAGAAGATGGATGCTCCAGGGTCCTTTCACAGTTAGAAGATGTTTCTCAAATCACACCTGTGAATACCACAAAATCCGGGCGATAGAGCGCGGGTGGTACATGTGGTACATTAATTTGCGACCTCATATTAGGGATGGGCAATATAGAATACCGAATCCGGAGGATTCGAATCCCAAAGTATTCGAATCCAACGGGATTCGATAACAGGATTCGGTTTCCGCCTCTCCGGCGCCAAGAGTCAATTTTTGTATTTCGGGTTCCTAATTTATCAGACGAGCGTTTTTTCTCGCGTGGAAATCTCACGAGCGTTTTTTCTCGCCTGGAAATCTCTCTCGTTTAATATAACTTGCGTCTGCTCGTAAAATCGGTAAACATCAAACACTGTTATCTCAATCGGCATATTCAGGACAAGAAGTCGGCGAAATATACCTCACGGCGAAGACTCGTTATTGCACCATTTTTGCGTTTTACTGATTTGCTAATAGCCAACGTATAATATTAATAAATATTTGTGCCGACTTACTAGCAATATTCCGATAATCTGATTGCAACAATCTTTAATTGTTTACAGATGTACCTTCACTACCTTGCTTCATTTTACATTAAATTATATCTCGCGACTTGCGAGTTTTCCCAAAAAATGATGCATGTAAACCAAAAGCCAGGCGTTAAATGTTATAACATTGCTTTCGAATAATTTAGATCAAATATTATTTACGAATTGTATTACACCATTTTCCGAAATACAAAAGTTATATCGCAATACGCGAAAATCTGTCACATTTAAATTTCACTCTCAAAACAATACATTTTTTCGGTCCGTTCCTATCGTTTAAGATAGACGCACGTTTGATCTGATAAATTTTAAAAAAAGTTGCCGCATCTGGCTAAGATAGTGACGTATTGAGTTTAATTAGGGCCAAGTCTGTGTAGATAATGATATGTAACGATAATCATAGAAAATGAATTCGTCTTTAAAAGTTATTACCTAATAACTAAGTACACCATTTTCCGAATTTCGCAATACGCGAAAATCTGTCACATTTGAATTTCACTTTCAAAAGATTACATATTTTTCCGCCCGTTCCTACCGTTCAAGATAGACGCACGTTTGATCGAGTGTCTGTAGTATTTCAGTCGCCGATAAACTTAAAAAAAAGTTGCCGCATCTGGCGAAGATAGTGACGTATTGAGTTTAAATAAGGCCAAGTCTGGGTAGATAATGCTATGTAATGATAATCACAGAAAAGGAATTAGTCTTTAGATGTTATTACCTAATAACTAACTACGAAATCGCGTTTACGGGAGCTTTGTTTTGCAAGTCTTGCTCGCACAGAAATAAAAAGTTGATTTTGATTGATAGTGGTTAAATTTAATATTTTACAACGGCCGAATAGATTGCAGTGGCCACACGCTGGTCCTACACCTGATTATTCTCAGCGGGTATGTTTTAGTATACTCGGCAGACTAACATTGAAAATTATTTAACGCCGTTTCATATTTTTGTATTTAACCGCTTACTGTTAAAGTGTATAAAGCGTGTCTTAATTTAGCATTTCAGTATTTAGGGATTATTGGAACATTTGAAGGCAAAAAATATTGTAATTTTCCTAAATTTTATTGTCCTGGGAAATGCTTGTTTAGTATCATATGAAATCCAATGTTCAGGACATTTCCAAATAAATTATACATTTATAGTAATACATTTACAATTTTTTAACATCTAAATCCAGCATTGTGGGAATTCCCACTATTTGAATAAGTATGAAAATAGAATAGGATTCGGTATTCTGGATTCGATTTAACTATTCTAGAATAGTAAATTATTCTACATTGCCCATCCCTACCTCATATCCAGGAAAAAACACAAGGACAAGATGCTTGCTCAGACGGTAGCCAGGAAGATGCTGGACCTCAGTCTGATGGGGAGATAATACATTGGTAAGAGTTGCCCAACCTAGAAGGACAAACTTTACGAATGCCTAAGCGTGATCGTAGGCAACCTGTATTTTTTGGTTTGATTAGTGAACTTTTGCTGTTTACCATTTTGTAATGGAGATGAAAACATTCTGTCATAATGATCCATCCAATGTTTTTTTTTTATGTTCGGGACACCGATGGCGTTTGTCAGTCTGTGTTTTGGTATCTAGTTAGGATAGGCTACCAATTGTGGAAATACAGCTGGGTTTGCTCCAGTTAGATTTTCAGTGTTTAATGTTTTTTTTATGACTGTCTAATTGTTGCCAGTTCCTAAGTAGGATATCAAAGTTAGGTAATGTTGCCTCATAATAAATCATTTCTGAAGCTTAGAAATGTTTCCCAGCTAATTTGCATATCAATCTCCCATACAGGTCAAGTGCATTTTACTATATTTGAAGGGTATTCAGGTATTCTTTTCAACTTACAAGTATAAACTGGCGCGACAAGTCTTCATTTAATCATAATATATACACATAAATCTCGTTGCGTAAGAAATCTGTTCGGATGATGAATTGTATTATTTCAATGCTAATTTGCATACCAATCAATCAATGTACTTTTCAAATATTACAAACTCTTGAACCGTCTGACTTGCAAGTCGCCCGTTCATCTCTCAGCGCCAACACGTTAAAATTCTCTTTTCGATTTTATTCGTTGATTTTCACAATATACAGTAAACAATCTTATATTTTGTGCTATATATTTATATATATATGCCTATACGCCAGTGGTTCGTTGTTTTAAGACGAGGTTGCGTTGGTTTATTACGCAATTTCACTCCCGCCGTCAGATTGCGACATCTTGGCGCCGAGCAATCACACTTTTCGCTTTCTCGGCCCCGATTCATCGCAAATGCGCCCAATCAAATCTAGCAAGATTCAAAAACCTAAAAATTGGAACGCGTGCGTTTTCTGTTCTGCGAGTATTTCGTGATTAATATGACCGTCTATATAAAACGTTATGCATATTTCTTTGTTTAAACCAGAAAACAGTCAAGAACAGTATAATATTCCAGTAAGATATGAACTTGTTACGACCCTGCAGGTGGTCACGAGACACGCAAAAAAGCAAGGGCCGCAAACGTGTTTTCCAGTATTTTGAGCAGACACAGTAGGATTTTGAGCCTGGTGCCAAGTTATCGACGACTTTGTCATTGTAACGTAAATACATTTCGTTTGAGGCGTCGATCAACTGCAAAGGGATTAATATGATGAACCCGATGAAAAAGAAAAAAGCTTGATTAAAATTGTGATTTCACTTTACAGTCCGTTTTAAAAAAGAATTACTTGACACAATTTTGGAAATCTCCTGATAAGAATACCCATCGCTAAGTATCGAGCAATCAAACTGTTGTGCGTATTTTCAAACATTATTTACGTGTTACAGAAACTTCTTTGAGGCCACGTTTGCAATCCTATATTGGAAACGAAACAGCAGCAAAATTCTCACTCTAGAGTTAATCGTGTTTGTACGTTTTTTGCCATGTATTATACGTGTATTTTTTATGTGAGATGTTTTATGCGTGCCTTTCTTACGCATAATGGGTGCCCAGCACCGCATTTTATTACGCAA